CCTGCGCCCTGTGAAAGGGAGTATTAACTTTGGGGAGGAAGGGTCTAACAGGAGGGACAAGACTGGCTGCCCCTTTCAAGAACCTCTTGATTATAGGTAGGTGTGACAAAGGAACCTGACCCTCCCCCAGTAGAATGGTAGAAAGCAAAGCAATTTGTTGGCGCAAAGTATTGTGGGCAAGGCCCGTCTAAACCGTCTTGCAAAAAATCTAAAACCCGAGGTACAGAGGCGTCCACTAGAACTATAGACGCTGCTTCGCACCACCTGACAAATGCCGACCACATGGCATTGTATATCCTGATGGTCGATGGACATCTGGATGCCTCCAAGATGGAGATAACTCTATCAGAAACATCTGCCTTGCTTAAAATTCCCCTTTCAAGTGCCAGATGGTCAACTTGAGCCACTGGGGCTCCAGGTGTATCAAGACCCCCTGGCACAGATAGATCTCTTCCCTGGGAATCCTCAAAGGTGGGGATGCGGAGAGCTGGATTAGGTCCACATACCACGGTCTCCTGGGCCAGTCTGGTGCTAAAAGGATTATCTCCGCCCCCTCTGACACTACCTTCCTGATGGTCTCTGGAAGAAGGGGAAGGGGAGGGAAGGCATAGAAGAGGCCCGACGGCCACCTGCATTTGAGAGCTTCGATGTCATCGGCCCCACATGTCTGATATCTGCTGACAAATCATGGAAGCTGTGTATTTGCCGGGGTTGCAAAGAGGTCGATCACTGGCGTCCCGAACCTGTGGCAGATGCGGTGAAAAAGATCTGGATGGAGTTGCCACTCCCCGTGGTCCACTGTAACTCGACTGAGCCAACCTTCCTGGTGATTGGCAGTCCCGGAAATTTGGCTCGCTATGATCGAGTCCACATGTGTTTTCACCCACAAAATGAGTCTGTGTGCCTCTGTCCATAGAGCTATGGAATGAGTCCCTCCTTGCCGGTTCACATGAGCCTTTGTGGCAATGTTGGCGGTGAACAGTAACACGTTCTTGTGTTGCAAGTCCTACTGGAAGTGAAATAAGGCCAGACGGTCCACCTTGAGCTCTAGATAGTTTATGTTGTGACATAGATCTGTGGCAGACCAGCGTCTCTGTGTCATCTTCGAGCCCATCAACACACCCCAGCCATAAAGACTTGCATCTGTAGTCACGGTTACCTTCGTCGGCTCTCTGAACTGTGACCCACAGTTGAGTGCTGCAGAGAGCCACCACCGGAGCGACAGGCGGACCTGCGGAGACACTGGAATAGCCAAAGGTGAGTTGCTCAGCATCTCTCTTTCATATGGGATTAAGGTCCACTCCAATGTCCTGGCATGAAAGCGCGCCCAGGGGACTATTCGTATGCACGATATCATTATGCCTAAAAGACGTGGAAGGTCTACTATAGGGACCACTCGCTTGAAACGTATCCTCCGGACTAATTGTTGTAGTTTAGACCTGCGGTCCTGTGACAAGAAAACCACCCCTCCACTGGAGTCTATTACCGCTCCCAGATGTAATAATCTTGTGGTGGGTGTGAGGTGGCTTTTAGTAAAATTGACCAAGAACCACACCTGCTGAAGGGTGTCAATGATGAAGTGAAGGTCCTCCACCACCTGATCATAAGAGTGAGCTTGTACTAGGACATCATCAAGGTAGTATTGGAGCCGTACTGGAATAGATCAAAGGTAAGCTGCCACTGCTGCCAGAACCTTGGTGAATGATCTTGGGGCTGAGGCCAGCCCAAAGGGCAAGGTCTGATATTGATAATGTGACCCCTCCTAAGCGAACCTGAGGTATCTACGGTGGGAAGGCAATATCGGAATATGTAGATACGCTTCAGTAAGGTCTATAGAGGCCCTGAAATCGCCGTCTAATTCCTTGTAATATTGACCTCAATGAGGCCATTTTAAATATATGGTATACAATATAACTGTTCAAACATTTCAGATCTAGGATCACTCTCCACCCCCCACCCCCCAAGCTCTTCAGGACTATAAACAGATTTGAATAAAATCCCACCCTTGCTCTTCTAAAGGAACTAGCTCTATCGCTCAAATTTCTAGTAAGTGTTGAATTGCGAGCCTTGCAAGATCCCACACATTTTTCAAGGGCCCGCTGTCTGCGCTGCTCATCCCGCAGCGTGGCCCTGGATGGTTGTTGCTCTGCACATGCCTTGGTGGCCTTAGGCCCTGTAGCAGCCCTGGGGGGGGGCTTCCTCCATTACCTGATGTTCAGAAGGCTTCTTTGGCCTGGTTGCCATTGGTGTTATTTAAATATGCTGCACGCCACTGCACATCCCATTATTTTACTCTGTGCAATGTGGCTCTCCTTCCCACTCTGCAGATAAGTACAGCCATGAATTCCAGGTGGCTGGCAAAGATCGACCTCTAATTTGAAGCCTAGTGGCCAAAACAAAATGGCCTCCGCTCCTTAAAAGGCTCTCAAAATGGCCACCTGATTCAATTAATGGCCTCCCACTTCGCTAGAAATGGCGGGAGACCTCACACTTGAATTATTAAGCCTCTGGGGTGATCCCTGTCAAGAAGCCAGCTAAGCCGGCAAGAGTGCGATGCCAGGCAGCCAGTGAGCTGCATAGAGGTGAAGTAGTGGCTGGCTGGCTCGCTGAAAGGGAAGGAGAAGAAATCGCATCAGAAAAGGTACTTTTAAAAGGAGCGGTTTTTCCCAATATATGGGGCTACAGCCGCGCGAGCCCTTCTAATTGGGAAGCCAGCCGTCTTCTTACCTCTAGACTCTCACGTGAAGTCCCAGGCTGCCGGATTTAAGCCGAATGGCAATCCGTGATAGGCAGTGATGCCCGGTGCCCCCTTCGCTTGGAGCTACAGCTGTATTAATTTGTAAACTCAATTTAGAATAAGCCAATTTAATCAAATTATTTTGATTTTTAAAGGTAAATTTCGTAATTCCTACATTAGCCAAGAAACTAACAGCCTAATCGGACCATAGACTGAGAGGAACTGGGCAGAAGGAGGTGTGGCTGCAACATTTTCTCTCAGTCTATGGACCAATCAGGAATGACGATAGCCTGATGATAGCACCTCCCGTTCCTCATCATTGAGAATCTAGGAAATCCTGTGGATCATCAACTTGTCCTGCCAAGTTTTAGATCAGTGAAGATGCTAATTCTTGAGTAGACTTGCAAGCGTTTCCAAAAAAATTGAAAAGAAGATGCAAAAAGTTTTTTTTTTATTCTGAAAAGTTAACTAAACTGATTTTAACAATCTTTACAACATGTTAAATTACTTTAGAACAATAAACACTTTTTTTGTATAATTGATTTGTTTATAAAGTAATCAAGTCTGGTATATTAAATTTATAGTTTATGTTTGATTCTTA